CTTTGCTTCATTGATTTCTATCTGTTCCTTCGTCTCTCAGTTTCACTAGTGGCCCTGGGTCTTGACTATAAAAAAATTAAGTATATGAAAAGAAAGAATGATTCCAAAAAACTGCACTTTAGCTGGAAATTTTAAAGCAAACGTACAGTGCAGTATCTGTAGAATTGTTGGATATAAAAACATACTTTTGGATTGCGTATCATTTCTTGTTCTTCTGATGCTGAGAGTGGAGTCATTGCGGAAGTGCTACCATTACTTTTAGACTTTCCCTCTCCTCCTCCTCCTCCTCCTCCACCACTTGGCTTAGGGAGGGAGAGTTTAGTATTCAAGCTAAGCTGTTTCTTTGGTATGTGCATTTGTTTAGTGGCTTGAGCAAACACTGATTTAGTTTTATTAGCAAGCTAGAGGGAGAGAGAGAGAGAGAGAGAAAGAAAAATAAATTCTATCAATCCAAACATAATAGAAGGTAAAGATATTAAACAGTAATACTGTGACTCAAAACATTCTAAAGGTAATGAATGATATAGTTCATAATGACATTCAATATTAACATCACGTGACTTCAAGTCACATTATGCTATAGCAGTAAGTAAAAGATGATGGTACACCTACATGTACATGATGTATTTCTCTTAGCTCTCCTCTCTGTCTCAGTCAAAGGACAAGTTGCTGTTTGGACTCAAATCCCAGGACCAAATAACTCATCAATGCATTCAGTTAGTGCTAATTCTCAATTCCTCTGGGGCATCAATTCAAAAAACGAGGCCATGTACTGCCTGAGGCCCTGCAAAGGAAACTGGATATACAGTACACCCAACATGAGGAGTCTTGATGCAGGGCCTGTTTATACTTGGTTCATAGGCTTAGATAACAATACATACCATGCTACAGTCAAAAAATCCAGCATAGCAATGAATATAACAGAAGCAACTGAGATAGCAGCAGGTGGTAACGGTTTTATCTGGTATCTTGACCAGTATGGGTACACGTGGAAGTGGAGCATTGGCTTAGAGTATGCAGATTCCTCAAATGACAGGAAGTTTATTAATATTGCCGCCAACAGTGAGCATGTGTTTGGTATAGACGGTGAGGGAACGATTAATTATTGTGCGATTGTTGGAGGACCATGGAAAACCATACCAGGACACTTTATCAGCATGACAGCTGGCTCTCAGGAAATATTTGCCATTGATAGAAATAATAGACAATTATACCGTTGCACTATACCTTGTGCTGAAAACTGGGAGGCAATGGAGTCTCCATCAAATGATGTGGTTCAGCTTGATGCTACTATTGATGCACTGTTTGCTGTCAGTAGTAAAGGGGCTATATACCGCCATCATTTATCACTAATGTAATATAATGACAGTGTGTGCTTGACTAGTTGATATAGCTACAAGTACAGTACATTGCTGTTTTGTTTCATGCATGCTTAAATTTGTAAAAATTTTTAAAAATCCAATTTTGATTGGAATAGGGAATACATACATGTACATTATGTTTCATTAGTCATCGTTATTGTTGTAATTAAGTTTGTTAGTGAACTAATTACCACATGACTTCAGATCACATGATACTAATATAAGCACTACCATATAAGGTATAAGGCAGTAAGTAAAGATGAGCGTACAGCTCCTTCTCTTAGCTCTCCTCTCTGTCTCAGTCAAAGGACAAGAATGGATTCAATTGGCAGGAGCAGGATCAGCTATGCACTCAGTTCATGCTAACTCTCAATTTCTCTGGGGTATCGATACCAACAATATTGCTCAGTACTGCAAAAGGCCATGTAGTAGTAAATGGGAATACCGTACACACAACATCAGGAATCTTGATGTTGGGACTGACTTTACCTATTTTGCTAGCTTTGATTACAAGTTATACCGTGGAACAGCCAAAGAAAGCAATTATGACGTAGCAAATGAAGATGTAGACACAATTGATGTAGCAGCTGGTGGCAATGGTTATATCTGGCTTCTTGATGCCGATAATAACATACGTAAGTGGAGTACTAGTTTAGAATCTGTAGACTCATCCATTGATGGGAGGTTCATTAACATTGCTGCTAACAGTGAGTACGTATTTGGTATAGACTTCAGTAATACGATTAATTATCGTCCAATTTTTGGAGGTAAAGGACCTTGGGAAACCATCCCAGGACAGTTTAAATGCATGACAGCTGGTGCTCGAGAAATATTTGCAGTTGGATTCAATAATACTCTAATGTTTCGCTGTACTATACCTTGTATTGGAAACTGGGAGAAGATGGAGTCTCCAGCATCTAATGTGGTTCAGCTTGATGCTACTGTTGATGCACTGTTTGCTGTCACTAGTGCAGGAATCATATATCGTCATGAACTACCACTAGCCTCATACTATAATAACTAACTGTGTGCCATTGACTAGTTGATAGTTAATATCGCTGTATTGTTTATGTACCCCCTTTTAATAACATGAATGTAATAACAATTCCATGCTTATATAACTCTACTATGACCACAATGTAGAATACAAATAACCATCTAAACTACATTATACATGCACATACATAGCTAATATTACTATTAGTATCTTTTACTCAATGTTACATGCATAATCTCATTATACTTACTTTATGCGACATCTTGACTACTTCCGGTGGTGAGCGGTCTTCTTGAATATGTAGCTGGTTAGGAGAGGGCGTGTGCATATCTTCGTTAATTTGTGTCCACTCCCTAACATGAGGGACTGGGTCAGGATACTTAGCCTGAATAAAAGAGAAAGGGGGAGGAGGAGAGATATAGAGTGTGAGTAGTACGTAATATTACTGGATTCCTAAGATGTAGTGCCCTTTGAACTAAGTCAGATACCTCAAACCACGGAGGGTACTTCATTAAAAGCTGCATACATGTACTGTAGTCATCTGTTAACACTGTACAGGGAATATAATAATAATAATAATAGTAATAATAATAATAATAATAATAATAATAATAATAATAATAATGTTATTTATCCGTATTAAAGTCTCATAGATTATTTAATTTGC